ATAGAAAGTGTTTTAAAACGTTTCCCAGTAACAGGAATTGGGCCCATTTATAGTAAGGGTTTATGGGCTGTGTGTAACTTTATTTTGAACTTGCGATTTCCCTTACATTCTTCCCATATTATTATTTGCAACAGTGAATAATTGTCACAAAATTCGTAATTTGTAACCACCTTTGACGATGATTCTATTGAAGTATAACTTATAACCTTCTTATGCTACATGAAAGTGAAAATTGCATCAATATAGCTTTTACTATATATATATTGAATATGCTTCAATTTCAACGTTTTACATTTCCTTTGAAACAATACTTCACTTAAAGAGACCAGTGGAAGATCTTGAACATTCAGGGCCCAATGCATGTTTCTTTGGGACCCATTTAAAAAAAAAAAAAAAATAGATGACAATAAAATTCCTAAATTCAAAATTAATTTTTACAATAAATGAATAACTGGAATACGGAGCCACTTGCGGGGCCCCATGATATTGTGGGCCCAATGGACAGTGCTTCGTTTGTGTTACCTTAGATCTAACTATCAAAAAGGCTAAAACTAAATGACGCAAAATTTGTCTTTGTCATAGTTAATAAATACAAAAAAGAAGAAAATGGTGAATACTGAATTAAGTAGAAGGTTTATTGCTATTTTATGTTAACTAATTTGACTGATAGTTTCAAGTAGATCTGATGTGAATTGATTCTTTTTGGGCCGAAAAAAATCCTTCTATGCCAAGATCTACAGGTTAACATGTACATTCTACGATGTTTATCGTATTGATACTGTCTTTATTGTATTTCTTTTAAACGAATTCTTGCTTTACTCAAATGTGCCTGAAGGATTCTGTATTTAACTGAATGCATTCCTTAACTTATTTTTAATTAAACTTAGAAATTATTTTATTGATCACAATGATCATATCAACACACAATAGCTTCTTCTTATGAAAAAAACACTTGTGTTTTAATAGGTTTCTTGAGGTGATTTTAGTCTTAAAGGAGATTAATGAATTATTTAGATATGTGTTTTCCTACATTGATTTGGACTACATAGCCCAAACAGGTAGGATTTTTAAAGAGGGCATATATTTATTAACATGTAAAACCTATAGCAATAAAATTCTCTTAATTTTAACGTTAACATTTAAGAAGGAATAGTACTTACAAAATTAAATCTGTTAATTTAGTTTTCTTTTTTATTCTTAATTTAAGTAAAACCTAAGATTTATCTCTTCCTGTCTACCTATAAAATCGTCGATTTGTTGAAGGCTGAGTAATGTAATTTTTTTATTATTTTCGATTTGAATTTTTTTGTGGACTTGCATATATATTTATTATTCTGATTGTAGGACCAAAGCGTCAGTTATCACGAATTATTATTTGAAAAGTTTCGTATTACTATTAATGCTTCTTCAGGCGCTCATCTAATACTTGTTATTAAACTTCTAATCCTTGTCGTGTTCCATTTTAATGATTGTTTACTTTAATATTTAAACGATCACAAACAGGTGTGGTACTAACTAGTGAAATAGATGCATACGTTTAAAGTTATCTACAGAAACTTGGTCAAGGAAAATTGAACGAAAGTGAAGTAACTAATTCGTAATTTCCATAAAATCAAGCGGAAATGAATGTCTAGATTAGATGATTAACTGAAATTCAAGAGTCGGAAATTTAAAGTTCTTGTAAATATTAGAAATATCAGTCAAATAGTCGAAAGTAAACTTTAAAATTTTCAGAAAACTTAACGGGTTATAGGTACTGTCAATAATATGACATTCTACCCTTGACATCCACCCAAATAAGGGTTAGTCATGAGTAGGTAACAGTAGAACTACATGTACATTCATTTATCGAACATAAATAATGCTAGGTCAATAGATTTTTCGAAAAGGGTTTTTTGTGTATATTTAGCATAGAAATTTAAAGGCAGGAACAATAACAAACTAAACTGTTTTTGAATTTATTTTTATTTTTTTTTTAACTATCGAATTTACCGAACAATTTTCTTAATATTTATTCAATAAATTGTTAATTGTAATTGTTTTTGGTATTGTCGGTTAACAAAAATTTAAACAAATTATTGCGATACATTTGTTTTAACTATCTTTATGTTAATATATATTTTGACAGCGCCCTACGGACGAACAAAAGCTTACTAAGTATCAACTTGGCGTTGGTGGTGCCATGCAATAACAAACAAACAAACAAACAAAGGGTGAAATATTTGTGGAAAACTTACGAATAAAACGGGGCAGGTGCTTTGATGTGTGAGGGTAGCTTTTCAAAACTATGTCTGAATTCTTCAAATTCAGAATCTGCCATTTTTAACTGACTGAACTGTCCCGATATTGATTCGTCTTCCGAAGGATAATCCACAGCGAAACGAAACCTGGACTGCGCGCAGCCGTCAGCCCTCTTCGCATTGACTTTCGTATTCGAATATAAAGCCGCCCTCGATTAACATTCATGTGTTTTACCTATTCTCATTATGGCTAATGTATACACTATACACTTTCCTGTTTTATACCTATATATCGTAAAAATTAATGGTAGAACTTCGCACACATATTTGTAATATTTATGTCTAAAACAGAAGAAAATTATTTAAAATAACTCCATTTAGAATAAACAAATAAAGCGTACAATACCTAATTTTACTCTCTATGTTAAATGCCTTCTTTTTAGAGAAAAAAAAACGATAGAGTTGGCCTCTACTATATAAAAGTTAGTCATACTAATACTTGCAAGAAAAGAAAAAACAACTACAGTAGAACCTTGATAACTTAAACCTCGATAACGTAATAACCTCTATAAATTCATAAAATTTTGTGTTCTCTTCCCTTCGGAGTCCAAAACCTCTATTACTTAAAATAAAAACCCTCTATAACTTAAACGAATAATTTGGGCATCGCACCTCAGTAAGCAGTGAAAAGTGGTTTGAATCGGGAGAAAGTCTTCTAAGTAAATGACCAAGAACTGCTAAATTTCCTAATTTAGATACTTGTTTGCATGGTTTAAACAGTATAGAAATACGTAAAAACATTAGTGTTAGTGGACATATACTAAAGGAAAAAGTTGAAGAGTTTGCTAAGTCACTGGAAATCCATAATTTAAAGTTTAAACTTAAACCCTTAGTAAGTTTAATTATTTTACGTTTCTCTTAGTCTTTATCTTATCAAGGCTCTACTGTATTCAAAAATTTTAATTTAAATTTAAACCTACAAGGCCACGTTCTAAAGACTTGTTTTTTTTTGCAAATATGAGGATCTCTTTTTCTAAATATGAACTTGTATTTATAGTTTTGTTTGGGTAAAGTATCCACCCTGTTTTCTAATATGAAAATACAAAACGCAAATTAAATTTCCGCTGTAAGCGAGTTAAATTGAGTTATCCCATCACAATACCCTTATAAATAGATGGTAATGCTTTGATTGGATAATACAATTTGACTCAACTCCAGTAGAAACGTAGATATTGTGGAGTATTCTTTTTTTATAGCAACTGTTCTGTTATTATAAATTTTGTCCCCAGGGCCCAGGGCCCCGTTAATACAAAAGGTCGCTTGGGCGTCTATTATGGGGGATTTCCTGCTGCTTATCGGGCGGCGCAATTTGTTTTTTTTTTTTTTCGCATTTCTGTTCTCGTCGATAAAGTATTAAATTGTTTTATTATTGTTAGAACTGTGTTAAAATATTTTATTGTTCTATTTTTTTCCTATACCGTATACCTACATTATTACAGACAACAGTTTTTTGACAAAATAGCAAGTATAGTTGAGTAATTAGGTTGACCCCTAAGCAGTTTTAGCCTAGGGCCCCATAAATTCACGATCCGCCCTTTATTTATCCTCATATTATTATACTCACATTAATCCCTCGCATATTTAATTATATCTCAATAATGCTTTTCCAAGTGTTCCACATTTATCCAAATTAACTAAATTTTGATATTTAAATCCAACGCTGACTATGAACAGTATCTACAAATCCTTGATCAGTAATTTTTCGAAAGTGCCAGGTCCACGTCCGGCATTTTAGATAAATTACCAGGAATTGGTTGTTGGTTACCGCCAGGTTTCATAATCAATGAACCATGAGCACAAATAGGGTGCCCTCCCCCCTGATAAAGTAGGCAAAGTTTTAGAAAATCTATACAAAAATTGCACTTTTAAAAATATTGTTGATTCTCGAGTATAAAACGATTTCAGACTCTTGTTTTCTCCGAAAAATATAACATTCGGCTTCAACTGTCTTCCCCTAAATTTTCCATTATATTTTTTATCGGATAAAACTGAGGAAATATTAGAAAGAACAGGAGAACAGAGTAAGAAATAAGTGAGATATATTGGTAGAATATCTTGTCAGACATAAAGGGTTAGCTAGAAGCAGAAACATGAGTTAAGAGGGCTAAAGGTAGACCTAGACTAGATTACTATTCGTAGATAATTAAAGTTGAATATAGGATGCTCCAGTAGTCGAAAACGTAAAGATTGGCTCAAGACAGAAAGAAATGCAGGTGCGTGTCCAACCGCAGTATTTGAGCTAGAGATGATACTGTTCTTATTAATAGCTACTTCCAACGAATAAGTTACGTTCAATTATATTTTATATTATGTTAGTACAACGACGCTGCTTCAACATATATTGCATAGAGGAAAATTCAATTTACCAGCCGTGAAGTTTCAATTTCTAGAGACTTCCTGATACAATTAGGTATAGCGTATATTTCTATCCCTGAGGACGTACATTTATTGACGTTTGAAACTACAATTGTTCGCATACCACAAATTTGATTGATATAAACTACATCAATATTGCAATATTTGGTATAAGAAAAGCTGCAGTTGCTTTGTAAACATGAAATAAAAATATTTTTTAATAAAAACACTTGGTCTAATGTTACAGTATTATGCAGCAATAATTCCTTGTGAAAATGAGTTTTCCGAGCAACATTCGGCGCTAGTTGGTCAGTTTCAAGTTAAGGAGTACCTAACAATAAGGAATCCAATCGCATTATCAATTGTCAATGAAGTTCTGATACTGAAGTTTAACTCATTTATCAGAATTATAAGGTCACAGTAGGAAAAGATAGTCGAACGAAGTGATGACAAACTATATGAAAAAACAATTTGTGCTAATTCGTGTTCAGCATCCTGCATTACTCATACTATAGCATTCTGATAACATTTCGACACTGGTTCATCATTCTCGCCATAATACTTGAAAGCTCCTATGTAGAACGTAAGTGTTTACATTTTATTGAAATCTGTGAAAAAATAAAATAAATTTATAATTAATCGTTTAAATTAATACAGATTTAAGGGTTCATCGGCATCATTATTCGGTACCCGACTGGATCTTAAAAAAGGTGCCGGATCCACCGGGTAACGGTACCAAACCGAGTATTCCGCCCATCTCTATTTATTATAGGCTCTTATTATCAATATATATGTATATATAGTAAAAGTACGTGTCGTTCGTGCCAATGAAGGAACAATGGGGGTTATATAATATCACCCATCCATGAAAAAGGTTTAGGTTTACAGCTGCAGGGGTTGATTTCGAAGAAGTAGAAGGTTAAAAGGCTATAGCTCTAAAGGACTCCATATAGAGAATCAGTAAAGGTATTAATTGAGTTCCGAAGTCTTGTCGGAACGTTACAGAACGTTACAGAATGCTACTCTACTCTACATCTACAAGGTTCGAGAACGTTTTAGAATTTTCTAGAAGGGTCGAGAAAGTTCCCGAATGTTAACTAATACTTTCTCCTGAGCAACGCGAGGATAATCCGGCTTGTAATAAAATAAAAAACCAATCAGTAACAGTTATTATCACACTATAATTAAATGTCTTTTCGCACAGAAACCCAAATATGCCTTTAATACTTCAGATTTACAAACAGAATTAGTTGTTTCTAAATATTACATATAAAATAAATTATGAGTGTTGTCAGCAAAGGGCAAAGTAGTATTACGTAGTTAGTATCAACAATTTCTTATGCTGAAGTGTATGATGTGTTGTATACCTATTTACAAACAATTCCTTTAAATTTAATTTTTCAAACAATTTTTAATACAAAGAAAGTGATTAAACAAATTGTTCACAAAAGTGAATTTTGACCACTCGAAGCAATAGTGTTAACAGTTTCGAGCTCACAGTGACTGATAAGGGGGAAGAACTTGTGATTATAAAATATATTGTCTCTGGTTTTCCTCATTTTGTTCAAATTTAAATTCACCTACGTTAATGTTTTAATACCTTTCGTCGTTCATTTTTAAAAACATGGTAGGTACTCCACGTCAGTTTTATTATACATCAAGTCTCATCGGAGTAGGCCATTTTTTAATTAAACATTAGTGGAAGTCAATGAAATGGTTCCAGGTTAAGTGCCGAAAAAACGTGCGTTTCTATATACGGCCAGGATATCGAAATCCATGGTTTATTCAGTGGTAATGCATACAGCGATTTCAATTACTTTGCCGAAGCTCTCCAGTGGCCGGAACACCTCCCCTTGCACCTCATCCTGCTCCTTCTCCGCCACTGCTAGGACGCCTTCGCACTCCTGACACATTTCTGATACAAAAGGCCGTAATCATTCATTTAAACGAACCAACCGCTCGCTCTCCTGATTCTCTTAGTTTATCTCCTCGCCATTCAACAGTCTGTTTAACTAAGGAAGAAAAAGGAAGAAACAGAAGCTGCATTTAACCATTACAGAAAGGTCTTTGTATGTCAGTTAAGCTTATACAAATGATAAATCGTTGCAGGATTGTACAGTTAATTTCACTAGTGAAACAATTGCGATTAAATGAAAGTCACATTTACATGATTATGTATAATAGATAGAAAGTGTTTTAAAACGTTTCCCAGTAACAGGAATTGGGCCCATTTATAGTAAGGGTTTATGGGCTGTGTGTAACTTTATTTTGAACTTGCGATTTCCCTTACATTCTTCCCATATTATTATTTGCAACAGTGAATAATTGTCACAAAATTCGTAATTTGTAACCACCTTTGACGATGATTCTATTGAAGTATAACTTATAACCTTCTTATGCTACATGAAAGTGAAAATTGCATCAATATAGCTTTTACTATATATATATTGAATATGCTTCAATTTCAACGTTTTACATTTCCTTTGAAACAATACTTCACTTAAAGAGACCAGTGGAAGATCTTGAACATTCAGGGCCCAATGCATGTTTCTTTGGGACCCATTTAAAAAAAAAAAAAAAATAGATGACAATAAAATTCCTAAATTCAAAATTAATTTTTACAATAAATGAATAACTGGAATACGGAGCCACTTGCGGGGCCCCATGATATTGTGGGCCCAATGGACAGTGCTTCGTTTGTGTTACCTTAGATCTAACTATCAAAAAGGCTAAAACTAAATGACGCAAAATTTGTCTTTGTCATAGTTAATAAATACAAAAAAGAAGAAAATGGTGAATACTGAATTAAGTAGAAGGTTTATTGCTATTTTATGTTAACTAATTTGACTGATAGTTTCAAGTAGATCTGATGTGAATTGATTCTTTTTGGGCCGAAAAAAATCCTTCTATGCCAAGATCTACAGGTTAACATGTACATTCTACGATGTTTATCGTATTGATACTGTCTTTATTGTATTTCTTTTAAACGAATTCTTGCTTTACTCAAATGTGCCTGAAGGATTCTGTATTTAACTGAATGCATTCCTTAACTTATTTTTAATTAAACTTAGAAATTATTTTATTGATCACAATGATCATATCAACACACAATAGCTTCTTCTTATGAAAAAAACACTTGTGTTTTAATAGGTTTCTTGAGGTGATTTTAGTCTTAAAGGAGATTAATGAATTATTTAGATATGTGTTTTCCTACATTGATTTGGACTACATAGCCCAAACAGGTAGGATTTTTAAAGAGGGCATATATTTATTAACATGTAAAACCTATAGCAATAAAATTCTCTTAATTTTAACGTTAACATTTAAGAAGGAATAGTACTTACAAAATTAAATCTGTTAATTTAGTTTTCTTTTTTATTCTTAATTTAAGTAAAACCTAAGATTTATCTCTTCCTGTCTACCTATAAAATCGTCGATTTGTTGAAGGCTGAGTCTAACTTCTGAAAAAACCACAATGTGGTAAATTAATTTGTTAGATACACTAAACAAACATAAGGTATCATCAGTCCTAAAATTGGTTGGACACGTACCTCCACTCTTTCCTATCTTGGCCTAATCTTCGCATTTCCCTAAAACTAGAACAACCCACATCCTTAACTGTTTATGAACAGTAATCTAATCTAGGTCTACCTCTACCAGTCTTAACTTCTATTTCTGCTTCCAATATATCTCTAAGTTGCCCTTCATACCTGACTATAGGTGTCTACCATCAAGAAAAATTAACAAACCATTATTACTTCCTTCTTTTGATTTTAATTGTTTGGTGGGAATCGATTGCGCCACTCTCAAAATTCACAATTGTAGTATTTTTTAGGAATCTTTTTGAACTCTATTTTTTTATAGATGTATGGGCCCTTTTGCCAAAATATATATAACGTGAGTATTTTACAAATGTAATGTGTTGAAGAAATCAACTCATATTTCTTGAAATAATTTCTACAACTTCAGCAAAAAAAAAGAATAATAATAATAACAGCAGTTATTAGAAGTTTTCCGCTTTTCGTATCTTTTTCTTTAACAAGCTGTCCACTTGAATCGAGTGTATTCTTTAAGCGCTGAATTTAGAAGTCGGGTGAATTTCTTGATTCTGCCAATCAAAGATAGAAACTGCGCACCAGCCAATAGTTTGCTGGTGGTATGTTATAAAGAGGACTTCGAGCACCTCATTCATCTGAGATGGTGTAGAACACCCTGTGCGAAAAAAGTAACGTTCTACTTCTGATAGTGAAAATTCAACATGAGCGGTTCGGGAAAATCGTTGATCGGATTGTGGTTGTACCGCACGGGACGTGAATGGACCATCAAGGAGGACTTTTCGATGACCAACTTTGCTGCTCAGGTCGAAAACTTTCTTTACTTATTTAATTTTCACAAAATTTTCGCTACATTTCTACCAAAACGCTATAAGCTATAGCTTAAAGGTTTACTTTTATAGAAAATCCATTAAGCGTTCTACATTTAATATCTTTTTTACGATCTTCCAGCATTTTATGTATGTCTAAAATTTAAACCATTTAACTTTTAACCCTTTATTAAAACCCTTTGTTAAAAATTAAATTCATATTGAGCGTGTATCTGTACTTTTTCACAGAACATTTTTATCCTGTAGGTTCTTATTTTAAATTGTCAAAATATATTTTCGTTTCAATTCGACTAAAGTAAACTCTTTTAAAAAACACATGACGAAATTTATGGTGATTACAACCTAAAACGTTCGCATAATAAACTGTATTTTTGGAACATCTAAGAAGGCCTTACATTTATTGCTCATTTGTTTTAAACACAGCTAAAAGTTATTGGAAGGGTCTTACGTTAAAAAGCTTTTAGCATCTATTGATGTACACGATCAATTTCTGCATTAAAATCGCCAAGTTTTTATAATCTTATATATTAACATTATCAAATCACTAAAGTAAATCTTTATAGCATAAGTTATGTTGTCAGTGGTTTAGCCATTAGAATATAATTAAATTAATTTTAAGTAATATTTAATTATATCTATAAGAATATAGTAGGTAAATGACGAAAATGGTGAAGGCGCCGAACACATTTTCATACATATACGTGTAATACTTTTATTATGTCATAATTTATTTATAAAAAAGGTAACGTTTCGTATATAGTAGGTAATTAATGCTAGGCTTGCATTTCAATATTGATTTTAATTTACTATGACTATTTTTTTTTTTAATTGGGTAGTGTATCTATCCCAGTATTTGTTAAATTGTGTGTTACAGTCGAAGGCCGACGAAAAACAAGAACCAGAACGAATATCCATTGTATTTACTCTTCGAAATCAAGTGGGCAGTTTAGTAAAAGCTTTGCAAGCTTTTCAAGATCTCGGGATCAATTTACATCACATTGAGTCGCGCCCGTCAGAACAGAGTAACACTTTAAGCGATATTCTTGTTGATGTCGAATGTGAACCGAAACGTATGGAACAACTATACGCCCTGCTAAAAAGGGAAGCAACAACCATGGTGATAGGAACGTTTGGACCAAGTGGTAGTCAGGAAAGTGATTTTCCACCACCGACTCCTCTTTCTGCCACAGCGAGCTTTGGTAACGCCACATTTCGAACGCTTCTAACCTTTTCTTTTCCGCCGCACCCTCATACACCTTTAAAGACCTTTTTAGAATTTCTAAATTAACCGTGATGCATAAAAGTGACTTTTTTTTATTGAAAGCGACTCGACCCTACGCTATCCTCTGCTTTATATCCCTACTACTCCTTCCGTCCTGACTTATCTGACTTCCTAGATACCTAAAATCAGCCACTTCTTCTAATCTTTCGTCTCCTATCTTTACATTCGCTTTTTCCCTACTTTTTCTTCCCTTGCATACCAGTATTTTTGTTTTACTTTTATTTATATTCAAACAATATTATTTTGTCAAAACCGCTTCCATTTTATTTAAAGTTATCCCTATATTTTCCTTGCTAGATGCTAATACTGCTATATCATCTGCAAATCTAAGCATACTAAAATTTTTCCCCTGGATATCTATCCCTACAATTGTACTGTCTCTAATGATGTTGATCGCGTCCACTTCACAAACAAATAATACAAATTAATGAAATGAAATTATAAGCCAATTTTAATAATTCCATTAAAAAAGTCGACTGTGTGCGAAAATGTTTTTGAAATTCAGGAAAACCTAGAGGTTCATAGAATTTTGGAACCTGGCATTCCTATTCGATACAAATCTCTATTTGATTGCAGATTTTGAGGAAATGCCCTGGTTCCCAAGAAAAATATCGGAACTAGATAAAGCTCAAAATGTGCTTATGTACGGTTCAGAACTTGACGCAGATCATCCTGGATTTAAGGATCCGATTTATAGAAAACGAAGAGAACAATTTTACCAAATTGCCATGAATTATAAACAGTAACACATTTTCGCATTGTTTAAAGATCTTAATTAGATTTAGATATTTTTTTATTTCAGTGGACAACCTATACCAAAAGTTCAGTATACACAAGAAGAAACAAAAACATGGTAAGTAGGTACAAAGAAACATTGAATAAAACTTCTCGTTGTCTATATTATCTTCATTGTATTGTTTTGAAAATGATCTAATTCCACAGCATTACTTGTATGATAGAAGTGTGATTTTTAACCATCTAAATGACCACGGTCCCACTAATATTTTTTTTAATTAAACTTTGAAGATTTATATTATTATAAAGTCAGTTTTGGCTAAAGGAATTTTCATAAGTATCCATTTTTGTTGCTAATAATTAACTTCAACAAATTTTAATTTTGAATTTTTTGAAAATATTTATATGAAAACCTATGCTTCTAATCGCCCTGAATTAAAATAAAAGGTTTTCAATACAGATATTTTTGAAGGTGGGAGGCATTTGTATGACATAATAAAAATCATATATTAGAAAAGAAAACACTAAATTTGAATTGATTTATAGTTTATAAAATAATCGAATGATCATGTACAACCTGACTATAAGAATTTTTTCGATGTTCGTATTCATAATATTTCTGGATCATTTGAAATGTCTCATTCAATCAGATTCTCCAGATTTTGTGGAATGTCATCTTCATTTTCAGGCATTTCAATAATCTCGGTAGATTTGCAATAGAATTTTCGACTATCTATCATACTGATATCCATAAAATACGTTTTAAATCTCCCTCACTAGTAATGAAGACGTATTGTAACAACTCGTTTCCAAAATGAAATTTATCAAAATGGTTGATGTCCCCTAGTGGTCATCATAGATGTTAGTACGTAAATTCCTCAAACCAAAATTGATCTTACATTAATATAAATCTGCCCTCAATCAAAAGTTTTGGTGGGACTTACAGTCATTCAGATGGTCAGAAGTTACACTGGATCATCGATTGATTCCATATTTTGAACACTCGCCTAGCCATAGTTGCTTACCTCTGCTTGATATCCGGAGCGTTTTTTTGAGTGACCATTTCCAACTCTTTCTATCATTCTTTTGTTTACCATTCTAAAGTTTTAGTTTAGTAATAGAAGATAAAACTCTACTGTCCTATTTTGTATTTTGTCTTCCTCTTATACAACAGTTTCCCTGTACTCAGCTTTTTGAGCACAAGCCTTAAAATAGCGCATTATTCGGTATAGGTCAGCTGTTTATAAAGAGCTCCGACAACTTTACGAGAAACATGCCTGCAAGGAGTATTTGGAGAACTGGCCCCTTTTGGAAAAATACTGCGGATACAGAGAGGATAATATTCCTCAGCTGGAGGATATTAATAAATTTCTGAAAAGAAAGACAGGCTTTCAGCTAAGACCTGTCGCAGGTTATCTAAGTCCAAGAGACTTTTTGTCGGGCCTCGCATTTCGAGTTTTTCATTGCACACAGTACATTCGACATTCGTCTGATCCCTTCTACACCCCTGAGCCGTAAGTGTGTCCATTTTAGCTTCTCGTTCTTTTTCTAGAATTCAGCAGTCCGCACCACAAATTAAGAAAGACAGCTCAAAATGTTTTCTTTAAATTTTTCAATTTTAGAGATTGTTGCCATGAATTGCTTGGTCACATGCCCCTTTTGGCCAATCCAAGTTTCGCTCAATTTTCGCAGGAACTCGGTCTCGCGTGTTTAGGAGCCAATGACGAAGAAGTGGACAAATTAGCTACGGTATTTGCCTATGAAACACTGTAATCAAAAACAGCAGTTGTTCAAAATTCCTTTTTCGTTAGCTCTACTTCTTCACTGTTGAGTTCGGAATGTGCAGACAAAATGGAGAAATCAAAGTTTACGGAGCGGGTCTTTTGAGTTCAATTGCAGAACTGAAGCATGCCATCAACAGCCCAGAAAAGATACAAAGATTTGATCCTGATGTAACATGCAAAGCGGAATGTATCATCACTTCTTTCCAAAATGGCTATTGGTACACTGATTCGTTTGAAGAAGCCAAAGAGAAGATGAGGTAATGACAGTGCCGGAGTTATACAACTTTTAAGCTTTTTTTTGTTTATTTTAACCTCGAGGAGGGGAAATCTTCTAAAGACACCCCCTAAGGGGGCTAGTGTTGGATTCACTCCTGGTGGGAGCGCCTACCAACTAAAAACCCTCGTCGAGGTGGTAGATCAACCTGGTGGTTATGACTACCGGGAGAAGATGGGAGAAGTTTAGGGAAGGGGTGATAGAAAAAGAGGTGAGAGAGGGAGGTTGGAGAGATGAACCGTGAAGAGGGTGACCCAACACTAAAGGGAAGGATGGGCATGCACTCGCGCTAAAAGCGAAGTAAAATTTTAAGTAAAAGCTACATCACTTTATACTGCCGCTTCCACCTTCGTATCCATATACCTTAATCACTCTTGTTAGAATTTTACAAATTTAAATGGGTAGGATAGGTAGGTATTGAAAAATAAAATAAATGAATGAATTAGTCTTAAAATGAGAGTGTAAAATGAAACAAGAATTACAAGTTTTATGTAAGTAACTTTTTATTGGCGAATTTATTGTGTTCATTTCTTTTTATCTATCATTAGAACACTGAGAGGTGGATCTAAGGTAACTCTAAGGAGGCACTGTGTCGGGTCTCCGATTCATGGGGCCCTCTAACTGGCCTTGAGATCCAGTTACGTATTCATTGTAAAACATGAAAAAAATTGCGGAGTAGTTTGCAATTCTGTAGTTTGACTTTTATTTTTTCATGAAGAGGGACCCCAAAAAAAGTATGCAGGCTGCAGGCGGATGCCCGAAGACTATCATTGGGTTCAATTCAATTTAAATTTGTTCGATATAAAAACGCTGCAAGGTGTTGTAATATGACATGTGTTTTGACGAAAATGCGTTTTTGCGAAATCTAAGGAAATGATTCATAATTTTAGATCCTTTTTAAATAATTTTGGATTTTGGACGCGCATAATTTCAATCGTTACAGTGGTTCACGACAATCTGAAATTGTTTGATGCAAATACACTGAAAATGACTCATAATTTCAGTTCCTTCTTAACGAATTTTCAAATTTGGACGTGCGAAATTTTGCTCTTTACAATACTTCAACCAGATTCGTAACTATTAAAACCTGATGCAAGCGATACACTTTGAGTTGGATATCCGACCTATGGGCCACCCCAAGTGTCCCCGAATTCCAATTAAGTATTCAATTCTTATAAAAGTTTGACTACTTTTCTTTTTTTTAAAAAATCGCCCCAAATGTCCAGAATTCGACACTAAGAGGAGTCCAGGAGTTATTAAGTTATTATTGACATAAAGATGGCCTTTTAAACAAGGAGAGCTCCTTTGTCCAGAATAATTTGTGTCAGGAATACAAAACGCCATACAGGGATGCTTATATCTAAGTTCGGATAGATGTAACACAAGAATTATTGGTTCCTCAAAAAAGTTATTAAGTCTTGTTAGTGGAAACGTGACAGTGAAAACGTCTGCATTCCTGAATATAATTGACCTCTCATAAATTTTTGGAATAATATTTCATGAAAAACTAAACTTTTTCTGTGACTCTAAAATCTACCATCCCTACTCAGCTACTCATATGCATCATTGGACACTGGGTAATGCAACAATTTACTGTGACAATCTTTTAAGGGGTGGAACTCTCAATAAATTGCTTCTTTATTAATTTAAAGAATTGGTTTATTTGAAAATTAATTTAAATTCCGCCATTATATTTGCTGAAGAGAAGGACGAAGATTTACAGAACATTAATGGAGTTAAATAAAAAATGTTTAATAATAAGTTAATAAAAATAGAAAAAGGAGACTGTGGTAAATAATAATTAATTAAAAATTGAAAAGAAGACTCGCCCCTATTTACCATTACCATTACCATTTTNAAAAAGTTTTTGTGGTAATTAGGGGTGAGTCTTCTTTTTAATTTTTTAATTAATTAATAAGTTAATACTTCGCTGAACTTTTTTATTTTATTAATCAACTGATAAAGTACCTAACAGAGGTAAGAACTTATTGAAATGTCATTGCATTTTAACTTTTCGTTTTGTAGAAAATACGCAGAAGAAATCCAAAGACCATTTGGAATAAGATACAACCCTTATACTCAGAGTGTCGAAGTCTTGAGCAATGCCCAGAAAATTACAGCATTGGCTTCGGAATTACGGGGAGATCTTTGTATTGTTAACAGTGCTCTGAAGAAAATAAGTGCAAGGAACCCAAAAGTTGATGTTGCTTCAATTGCTAAGCTTTTACATACTGATCTTGATCTCGAAATAAAGAAAGAGGACGAAACCACCCCCGAGAACGATCTAAATTCTCATTAAAGTATTACCAAAATTTCTGTATAGGATATAAACAATCATTCATCATAGATATACATATGTTACCTTATTAGAAAGGGCTAAATTGTTAAATAATTGTGGATACACTTCAAATTTTAAATAAATATGAAAGCATTACCCTAATGCTGTTTTATTGCCGAAATAAATATAACAATGAGGCAATTTGTTCTTGATAAAACACAATTTAAACTTTAACTGAATGCGATATTTAAAAAATTAAATTGCATGAAGTCAAAATTTATAAACGCAAAAATTAATTAACTTTCTAAAGGAAACCGCCAAATTGCTTTTTTGTACTTAAAATAAGCAGTAATAGAAGAGAACAAAGCTGAATAAATATATTTTCAAAAGCTAAACAACCCCCAAAAAAATAACTTTAATATTATTTAATTGGAAGCATAATTTTCCGAAATTTAAACCTGTAGGCATTTACTGTAAATAATGGTTGTTTATTTACAATATTATTTGTAAATATCTATGTTTGTTTAGATTTCCAAAAGATTCCTCAATCTTCTGATAAACGTCTCTTATTTTACACATCGGAAAATTACTATTTTAAAATCCTTTGATTTTCCCTCACAATTATGGTACTAATACGAACTTGTGCATTTTATTGGTAACAGTTGGTATCTAAACCATTACTTAAACAAAAAAGTAATAGAAGAGATAGTTGCAGTAAGCCGTGTACGCCAGGGCAAAACCACAAACAGTCACATTCGCATTCCGTTCTACAACGTGATAAGTGTTGTTGAGTGTTCTATCAATTTATTAAACAGAAAACGTGGTTTTAAGTGAATGACAAATTTGTCTTTATTTTCGTAGTCAATTCTTTTAATAAATTACAATAGTAAAGTAATAATGAGTGTTGGCAATTGTTTTACTCATGTTTGGTTGATTTCAAAAACGTCCAAACAAAATGTAAACAAACGAAATTTTTAAATAGCCAAGTTTGTCGTTCATTTTTGGCTTGTCCTTATTTACATTCTCGAGCAGCTGTGCGCGTTTAAAAGTACCTTTTTAAGTGCTTTTGACATGATTTACTTAAACTATTTTTCGTTATCGGAACGGGGATACTATTCCTGGTCACTTTCTAGAAGTTTCAAAGTGGATAAACATTGTATCAAAGAAGTAAGTTTGTATATTTAAATAAGTTATTGTTTGTGAACATTAATTCTCTGTATAGGTACTTTTTATATAAAATTTAAACATTAACTCAACTGATACTCAACATAATTCCTTTATGGTACCTATTGGATTGTTTCCATGATATTGAAATTAATTTTCTTACCAAAATAATAATCATGATTATTTAATCTTACTACTAAATTAGTAACGCGTTGAGTTTATATCGACGTGCCGAAAACTTTACAAATAATTTCTGACTTGTTAAATATGCAAAACGTCGGCTGTTAATATATTTATCGTAAAAAGGACTCAAAAATAAATTCCTCACGTTTAAGTATAATTTTAAGGTCTAAAGTAACCATTCTTAAGGTACCAATTTGGTAAATGGTACCGGAGTGTGAGTAGAATATTATATTATTTAAGAAAACCCATATCCGTTGATTTTTAGAAAGCATTATAGGCATATATTTTCATCTTTGAATAACAAATAGTAACTACTTACATTATTAAATTATCAACAACTAAATCAATCGAAAACTTAATAGCAATAGAGACGACTACCGTATACATAAAATTCGACTAATTCTCATTAATCCCATTTTTAAATTAAACTGAGAAATCGAAACAGTACATTGTAAATATTCTTCAGAAAATTTACAATTTTTTTTGTGTAGTTTTCCTCAACTCCTGAAAATCCTACCTGTTGGGTGGTTACCTATACACAATTGCCCTTTTTCAACTCTATGTAATACCATAGAAGTAATTACCTAACGTTACCTAACCTAATATTTTTCCCTGAAAAAGTAACCTTAAAAAGCAACATATGTGCTCTGTATTTATAAAAGTATGCAATTTTTGAATATAAAAAGATATAGTAAATCTGCAATAACATTTACATTTGCCGAATTAAAAAAGCTTGAAGAAACAGAACATTCATGTGTGGAAAAAGAGACTCGAAGATTACATTTAACCTTGTTGCCTTTTCATTTATCAAATATTTCCAGCTCTATTAGTGAAATATTGTCTTCAAATGTAACTAAATATAATAAGGAGTAAGTGTTTCATAAATTCTGTTATTTTTGTGGATCTCACATTGCATTTTAGTTTAGATGGGATTTTGTTGGGTTATAAAAATGTTAAAATCTTGGATAGTACTCCTGCCATACATAATGATAACTGTTTGGTTCACGTGACAGTAGATGCTGAGTTTTATTTATTTAAACCATGTGAAGGGAAAACGCTTGTTGGGCTTGTGAATCAAATCAGTGATGATCATATAGGTTGCTTGGTTCATAAAGCATTCAATGTCGTAGTTCCTAAGGAGCAAAATGGGAATTTGGTGAGAAAAAACCAACATATCTTGGTTCAAGTTAGTTACACCAATTTGGAAGCAAAACTACCGTACATAAAAGCAGATTTAATGTGAGTAGTAACAGTGGTACATCCACATTATTTTGCATTGTAATCATAAAATATTTTAGCTCCATTATCTCTGACACTGATAGTGGGATAAGTACAAGTGAAGAAAATCATTTTGATACATCAATTTCTGAAAATATACCAGAAGTGTTCATTAAAAAGAACAAATCACCTAAAAATGCAAAACATGAAGTGTATAAAGAAGAAAGTGAAACTACCTCAGGAATGCATTTAATTAATGTCACAACTATTGCTGAAAGTACATTGAAGCAGAAAAAAAACAAGAAACAAAAGCGGGATCAACATCCTGAAGAAGATCGAGATAATTATGAAAACCTTTCAAAAAAGAAGAAAACAATTGCAGAGGATGATGACAGTTGTAGGATGTTAGATTCATACCTCAATGATCACCTTCAAGAGAAAAATAATCTTGAATTACCTTTACAAAAAAAGAAAAAGAAGAAGAAATCTAAATCATCTGAATGTGAAAACAGGGAAGAGTTTCTTCCTAATACGCTTAACGAAAAAGATAACTATAGCAATAATGATGATACTAATATCACGTTCAGTATTAAAAAATCAAAGAAAAAGAGGTCTAAAGAATATAAGGAGGAGAATCAAGATATGATCAATGAAGACCCAGAATTATTAGCATTTGCTCCAGAAAAAAAATATAAAAAGCATAAGAAAAAGAAATTCTTAAATGAGGATGATGATAATCATTCTTCCAAGTCATTAGAAGTCAGTGAAAAAAATTCATTCTTGTTTGACAAGGAAGATGATCCTGAAACTGAAGAAATGTTGAGCAAACAACACATTGTAGAAGATAAATCTCCAAAATTTAAAATATTGCAAAATATTATCATTAATAGACCTGACCAAGAATTAAAACTGAAGGAATACCACTTAGCAAATTCAAGTAAAAATAAGCATAGTAACATAGCAAAAGATATTGATGTTTCTTCTGAAGACACCAGAAACCCAAAGAAAAAAAAGAAACATAAAAATGACAAAAAAGATGATTTGGAATGTTACAACCTCGATGTTATTGACAATGGGGACTTAAAACAAGTGCTGTTGAATCATGACTCCAATAAAAATGATTTTATAGAAAACAAACATAAACCGAAAAATAATAGTCTCGATAAATATTTTAACAAATCAAATGAAAATATGTTAAATTTAATTGAAGATTTAAGACCTAAGTCACATGAAGGTGCTTTGGATGACACAGAATATCTAGATAATATAAGAAAACCTAAAAAATCAAAGAAACATAATTCAAGCATGTTAATTGCTACCACTTTAGGTGATTTAGACAAATCGGAAGATAATACATCATTTGATTTAATCGAAGAGTTGAAAAACACAAAAATAGAAACCCTTAAAAGTACTCTAGAAGACGCAACGTGTTCTAAAAAAAATAAAAAACCTAAAAAAACTAAAAAAGATAATATTGATCAGGATTTAAATGAGCTAAAAGATGATACATTCAATATAATCGAAGATTTAAAACAAAGATTATGTGAAAAAGCTTTAGGAGCTTCAAAGGATTCACTTAAATCAAAAAAGCATAAAAAATCTAAACAGGACTTGATGCATGATTCACAAAGTCCTGTAGAAAATGTGAAAATCTTAGATAAGAAAAGTAAACACAAGGAATCAAAAGACACAGGAAGTGAAAATTCAATCACATCAAATGATAGCACCATTCATTTAATTGAGGATTTGAAGCGTAGAGTAATAGAAAATACTTTAGAAATAAACAAAAAAAGTAAACACAAAAAGCTACAAAAATTAGATGAAAGTACCATAATTCAAATTGAAGACATGAAAAGTAAAGCTATTGAAAATGTATTAAAAGAATCTAGCAGCAAAGAAGATAATTCCGTAGAAACTGTAAATATCAATGTTGAATCGAAGAATAAAAAAGTCAAAAAGGCAAAAAAACATGATAAAAACACTGAACTTAAATTCAATTTAAATGAACCAGAAATTGACGATATTAAGCACACAGCCCTAGCCCAAGCACTTTCAAAAATTTCAGGTCCATCTGAAATAAAAACCCAGAAGAAAAAGAAAAAGAAACACAGAGAAGACTTGGATATTAACGAATTAAAATCTCAGACTTTGCAGAAAATTTTAGGAAACTTAAATGATGATGAAATAAGTAGTCGTTCAAAAAAGAAAAAGAAAAAGAAGGAGAAAAATGATATTGACATTGATGAAATAAAACAAATGGCAATGAATAAACTATTGCATAAAGATATAAACAAAGAAGGAAACGATAGTTCTGGAGAAGAAACAGAACAATTAAGGCAGCATAGAAAGAATACTAAAGAAAAAGAAAAATCTTTACAGAATTTAATTTTGGAGCACAGGTTTGGTGATGATGAATCAAAGCATAAAGTTAAAAAGAAAAAAAAGGAAAAGAATTAGATAACTTTATTTAAAATGACCGTTTATACGATTTTAACAGTTGTTTTATATATAAATAATTTTTGGGGAAAAATTGTCTTTTATTTCTTTTAATTAATTTATTGTAGATTTAGTACTTACCTATACAAATACCCAATTAAAATTATTTTTTTTTTCTATTTATTATTTCGCAATGAGTATGTTTCGTGTGTATTCGATTTTGGTGCAAGTTATTTTATCTAACAATAAAAAAGAAGTATTGCACCATGGCCAAGCCCCTTCAAATACAATTCATTCCCTTTCCTTTACAATAAGTACTGAGAAAACTACCGTAAATTTGGACGTTTATGTGTTTATGATTGTTTATGGATAGATTTGCATTTAAATCTGAAATATACTCAGGAAAAATAAAAAACAGTTAATTTTTATTTATTTACAAAACGTATGTCTGGAATACAAAAATAAATAAATTTAAGTTAAATCTACATTGCACCTATACGACCTTTTTTAAAAATAATTCTTTTATTTATTTGTACTTTTAAAATAGGTGTTTTCCTTTTGGCATAAGTAATATAAAATAACAATTTTCTAGAAAACAAAAGTGTTATGGAGAATTGATCATTGGGATTATTAGACATTAAATTTTTCACAAATTACATTCATAGTCCATTTAATTTTTTTTTTCTTATATGTACACACTGTTCTTGCATTTCTCTAAACGTTACTGAAAAAGCAATTGCGTTAGTTAACAGTATCATATTATTGAAGAGTAAATTTAAATTTTATTAATTTATTTGAAGTAATGCAAAGAAAGTTTGTACATATCACGTATTTTTTTCTGCTCCCATCCTACTTGCTAGTACAATGTATAATTAAAACAATTAGACGTATACATTTAGTACTAGCTAAACACATATGTGTTATATGGGAATACGTATACAGAGAACATATTACACTTTTTTAGCAACATCCATCTTCAGTATTAAGATTTTATAATTAATATCACACAGTATAATAACAGTAACAATAATCTCATTTCATTAATAATATTGACTATTATTATTTATCAAATTACTGGAATTCTTTGCCATGTAAAGCACATACATTATACATTCTAACCACCCTGTATATAAACGATTGGAAACATTAAAACATCAATGCGTCTTTCTAATATGTTTATATTATATTAGGAAAAAAGGACAATTTCCGAGAAAACGTAGGAAATAATTAATTTCATTAGAAATTTTGTAGTACTTTATATAAAAAATACTTTCCTATTTTTTTTCTAACTACCTTTAAGAATAAAATATCATTACAGTGTCACAGTAAATTCATTTTCGTATGAAAATATGGCACGATTTGACTGAATATTTGTCATGAATGTTAATTATGCAATGTCGTAATTCCATACACATCTAAATAACAAAAATAGACTATTGGTAACTAAGCACCTTTAGGGTAAAGGCCATGGTAGACCAGAAAAGTCTACAGGACCTCCAAGTCCTGCATCCGCCTCTAATAAACTCATTATAACCGCCATTGCGGCCTCGTCGTTCCCGTCAGTCGGTGGTCCGTTACCCGGGGATTCCCTAACCGCGTCTTCCATCATTTCGATTATTTCTTCATCGGCACCGCTCCCTAGAACTTAACAGTATTAACGGTTTTCATAAAACTGTGCATGAGAATATATTTATGATGTATTCACTGCCTAAAAAATTATTTTAAAAAAATCCAGCATAAGTAATTGACAATATAAATAATTGTATTCTGATACATTCCTGCAGTTATATTTTTTATAAAGAAAAATCAAGCAATTTTGTAATGCATTTGCAAAAATTGTATTAATTCATTTTAATCAAATCTGAAACCTAAATTGGACCTCTGTATCTCGAACGTGGCATTGTTTTACATATTTTACAATTCGATAATTTGAAACTTATTACGTCTATAGTTCGAAGAAAACTAAGTTATAGATTTTAAGGATTTGCCGACAATGTAAGTACACCATTGTTTCTTAGAAAACAATTTAGGAATATACTTAAGGAATTTATTCTAGTCAAAATCCTCCCTAAGTCGAAAACTCTGTAAGTCCAATTTTTTGGCGTCACCCTTGATGTTCGAGCATTAGAGGTTCTGCTGTAATAGCTTTATCTTTCACTTTCTATCCCAATAGATTTGAGCTCTGACTTAAGAGATATTATAATTATTTGAGTTTGGTTTTCAGAAAGATAACAGTACGACAAAAATATTATGTTAGGCAAATTAATATTTCCGTCACAAAAGGGAATGACGAACACCAGCACAATGTCAATGACTGATCTTATTAAGTTTTAAATACGAAACAGATAAGCTGAATTGTTATAATCCTGCTTAATGAATAACGCGTATATTTTTCTTGATGCAGCCGGTGTTTATTCCAAAAACAAATTCCTTATAACATTGTTTCTTACCTGGGTCGTTTGAGACATTGGACAAAGGAAAGTTGTTCCTAACGTTGCTAAACGAGGACGTGTTTCTAGCGAATTCGGGAATGATATCGTTTAGCCTTTGTTGATCGTTAAGAAAATTCGTGGAGATATTGGACTATAATTAAAATATTTGAAAATAAACTCGTCAGTTTTAAAATGTAGGGGATAATTATTAAAATCTTACATTTGTATTAGATAGACTAAGAGATGATTCAGGATCGGGACTGCTATCGGACGATGATTCACCCTGTCGTCTTTGTGAGTCTATCACTTGATCCGCGATTTGCCTTCCTATTTTACTTACTTCCACGTGAGTGTTGATAATTCTTTGAATTTCACGACCGTTACCTGCTGTTAAAATATGAAATTTACTGGAATTGGGGTAAATCAAGTTAATTTTCACATGCAATGGGAGACATTATTCTCAATAACAGACAGGAAGTTGGATTGGTTAGTCATTTAGCAAAATAGGAAGTCCAAAAAATCCGCACTTGTCTCAAAATTAAGAAATTAGATATAGCTTAAATTAAATCCTGGGGGAAATCCAGAAGATCATGATTGTATCAAAGGGAGAAGAATTGTTTTTCTTTTTGTAGAAGTTACTTAACTTCGTGTTCAGTTAAGTATGGTGGAAGTTCCGGGAAAATTTAGTTTAAGTACATTTTATTTCTTATTCAATTTGATATAATTCAGTGTTAATTAGTTATCTAAATAGATACATAGCCACTTCTGTATAGTAAAAATAAGTGCTGTCGTACTTACTTTGGNATGTCGGTACTCATGTCTCTCATTTATACCGACAATTTCAATATTCGATTTTCGATTTTTGTCGTGGCGTTATGTCGGTACTCATGTCTCTCATTTATACCGACAATTTCAATATTCGATTTTCGATTTTTGTCGTGGCGTTATGTCGGTACTCAATTTAGTTTAAGTACATTTTATTTCTTATTCAATTTGATATAATTCAGTGTTAATTAGTTATCTAAATAGATACATAGCCACTTCTGTATAGTAAAAATAAGTGCTGTCGTACTTACTTTGGAAAAAGTCGTAGTCTTGTACTTTATCGGTTGGTTCAGCAGAACTTTCCACAGTATCCAAATCAGTCCTGAAAAGAAAAGAAAAACTAACGCTAATGAATAATCAGAATAATAGCACAAAAGACACTTACAATATTAAATTATTCTTAGCTATAAGGTACTCGGTTTCTTTGGTCCATGGATTCTTAAACGATTTCCATTCGCTTTGTAGTCTTACAAACCCCCCGTCTTTCGTCCTAAACCTATAAATGTTTGTTGTTATTCGATCGCTGTTCTGTAGGGCACACTTGTGGCACTCGGCTAAAGCGTGAATATCTTCGTGGTGGTAATACTCATACATACTCGTTCCAAGCAATTCTTGGGGAAGAAAACCCAAAACCAATGTTGCTCTACAAGCACGTATTCTTTGTTACAAATGTGCAAAAGTAAAATAAAAATATTGGTATGGAAAGGAAGAAAAAGTAGGGAAATAGCGAATGTAAAGATAGGAGACGAAAAATTAGAAGAAGTGATTGACTTAGATAAATAGGAAGTCAGATAATTCAAGACGGAAGGAGTAGTAAGGAAATAAAGTAGAGGATAGCGCAGGGTCGAGTCGCCTTCAATAAAAAGAAGTCGCTTCTATGCTCGCGAACGATTAATTTAGAAATTCCAAAAAGATTGTTAAAGGCGTATGTTTGGAGTGCGGTGCTGTACGGGTGTGAAACATGGACGGTGAGCGTGGCGGAAAAGAAAAAGTTAGAAGCGCTGGAAATGTTACAGGCGAAAAATGAGGATACCGTGGATAGAGAAGTCCAGAAATGAAGAGGTATTAGAAAAAATAGAAGAACAGTTGACTCTACGGAAATTAATAAAAAATAGACGAGATAGGTTGGTAGGACACCTTCTCAGACATGAAGGCCTAGTCAGAGACATATTAGAGGTAGAAACGGAAGTTAGGAGGGGTAGAGGTAGACCTAGATTAGATTACTGTTCGCAAATAGTTAAGGATGTAGGATGTTTTAGTTTTAGGGAAATGACTAAAAAGGTTAGCTCAGGATAGGAAAGAGTGGAGGTGCATGTCTAACCAGTCTGACGACCTTATGATAATGAGCATTTTTTTTATAATCTCGACTTGTCGAAAACTTGAGATTGTGATTCAGATTTTCCCTTTTTTGTCCTTTGATCGTTTTAAAAACTTATCTTTTGCTTTATTTTCTTTGATTTAAATAATAATAGTCGGTTAATTGTAAAGCTTATTCATACCTTTGGTCAACGAAGAGGAATTTTCCGTCCATAGTATGTCGTGAAATGAATTGAATTGGTACGGTTTTCGGTCTACCGTGGGCATTTGCCGCCACCAAAGATATGTGTGGCAGCACCCTGCCAACGGCTACTAAACAAGAAAGATTACACGTATCGTCACCCTCAGCTTCGTTTTCCTCCAAACCAATCTTCGCCGGTGCCCATGATTTCAAATAACCCGTGCATTGTATCACGTTATAACGTTTATCTATAAGAAACGTACAAAGATTTAAATAAAACCAGAAAAAACGAAAAACTACGTATATAATTCATTTAAACAATGTCTCATTGAAGATGACGTCTTGGGTATCTAATCGCGCTTTGGATCTTTAAACGAATTTCGCCAAACTCTATTTGATTTTTTTACATATCTACGTATAAATTAATAACGGTTAGGAGTGATTCTTAAATGTATATGTATAATATTATTTTAAGATACGTTAACAGTTTGTTTAATTATAAAAAAATTAGAAAAAGTACCCGAATTTTGTTTTTTTCTTCGATGGCATCCGGTTGTTGTGTCAGCTTCTTCCTTGACTTGAATTGAAGTTTTACATTTCATTCGACAAAAAAACGATCTGCGGGCACCGGGACACAATCGCGTAACTCCAGGAGGAACATCGGTCTTTAAGGGTAGCATAGCTAGGAAAGAAAATTAATAGTTAAATCATAATACATTATTATAGTAAACTAATAATTGAGCACCAAATATAATGGTTTCGTAAAATCCCAATACGCATTGATACTAATGCATATACATGTGTATATATTACAGTTAATATGTTACTGTTCGTTTCAAGAAGTTAGAGATATGCCCCTTCCCTTCATTAGGATGCGCCGTAGCATAGTTTCAAATTCAATCATATTTGTCTGCGGAGCTCATTTCCACACGGATCATCGAGCGAGAACTAGACAAAAGTGTACAGTACCATTTGCAAAATTATTTAAACTGCCTCGTTAAAATTTACGAATATGCTTTATTTAAAAGCATATTTAGCCAAAAATAATAACAAGTGAGTTAACTTAACGTTCTACACATCTATAAAACTTTTGCTTTGTTTTCTATTGTTAATTTATATACGTTTTTGTTTTCAGAAATTGCTAAACATTTTCGTCTAGTATTGTACAGTTCTAGCCAATCTTTTAAGACCGCCCATCGAGAGCTCTGCTCGTTCAAGCTTGTTCCAACTATTTCTGTTTTGCTCACGCCTGGTGTGTATTCTTTCTATCTTCACGCAGATTTCTTCAAGGTCACAATTCTAACAAATTGAAATGAACTGTAACTTCTAGTTAGTTAGTAAACTAACTGGATAGTATATAGATTGTCTAAATGTCTGGTTATGTTGATGGAAAATCATTTTTCAACAAAATGCATTCTTTTGCCCTTCGGAATAATTCTTACATGAATAATTATTTTGATGTACATGAATGAGATTTTAGCAAAGAATAATAATTTTCACTCCATTTTTTGCTAATATGTCAAGAAATCTTTAGTAATAATTAGTGGCAATTTTACAATATTAAACAATTAACATTAAGTACGAAATAGTTGACAACTTATAACATTTAACAGTTATAAATAAGGTGTGGGAATGTCATTTCTAATTCCTCTCGGTATTGAGAGCAAATAAATTACTTCGTTTTTTTTTTCTATTTTTTTCTAACTTTATAATATGTTAGTACCTACGTAAGTAATACCATAATACATCTGCGGTTCAAACACCACACCTTATCATAGAATGTGTGGGTAAATCTGAACTCATTTATTCACAAAAAAAGACATTTGTAATACGACTATTCTACTAGCCTTTCAAAATTTAGTTTGTTTAAAAATATCTAACTCAAATTCTACAATAATAACTGTTTTTATCGAATCGAAAGTACTGTTGTCGCACTTTACTGTGGTACAAATGCAATAAACCTAAAGGCATCCTTGTAGAAGGTGTTTGCTTTTGAGCAATAATATTCTTTGTAATTTTTTGTTTAAGGTGAATGTAAGTCATCCTCTAGTAAAAAGTGCTTACTGGCTAGCAGTTGCATTTCTAGTATTACGTATTTTCACTAGCCCATTTGACTATATCGAACGTTTAATTTTTATTACTTTTGTGCCACCTAAAGGCGCGTGTACTGTACTTATATGAGGTCTGTTCAAAAAGTATCGCGAATTTTGAATTTCCGCGGGTTACCTATATTCGATTTTCGATTTTTGTCGTCGCGTTATGTCGGTACTCATGTCTCTCATTTATACCGACAATTTCAATATTCGATTTTCGATTTTTGTCGTGGCGTTATGTCGGTACTCATGTCTCTCATTTATACCGACAATTTCAATATTCGATTTTCGATTTTTGTCGTGGCGTTATGTCGGTACTCATGTCTCTCATTTATACCGACAATTTCAATATTCGATTTTCGATTTTTGTCGTGGCGTTATGTCGGTACTCATGTCTCTCATTTATACCGACAATTTCAATATTCGATTTTCGATTTTTGTCGTGGCGTTATGTCGGTACTCATGTCTCTCATTTATACCGACAATTTCAATATTCGATTTTCGATTTTTGTCGTGGCGTTATGTCGGTACTCATGTCTCTCATTTATACCGACAATTTCAATATTCGATTTTCGATTTTTGTCGTGGCGTTATGTCGGTACTCATGTCTCTCATTTATACCGACAATTTCAATATTCGATTTTCGATTTTTGTCGTGGCGTTATGTCGGTACTCATGTCTCTCATTTATACCGACAATTTCAATATTCGATTTTCGATTTTTGTCGTGGCGTTATGTCGGTACTCATGTCTCTCATTTATACCGACAATTTCAATATTCGATTTTCGATTTTTGTCGTGGCGTTATGTCGGTACTCATGTCTCTCATTTATACCGACAATTTCAATATTCGATTTTCGATTTTTGTCGTGGCGTTATGTCGGTACTCATGTCTCTCATTTATACCGACAATTTCAATATTCGATTTTCGATTTTTGTCGTGGCGTTATGTCGGTACTCATGTCTCTCATTTATACCGACAATTTCAATATTCGATTTTCGATTTTTGTCGTGGCGTTATGTCGGTACTCATGTCTCTCATTTATACCGACAATTTCAATATTCGATTTTCGATTTTTGTCGTGGCGTTATGTCGGTACTCATGTCTCTCATTTATACCGACAATTTCAATATTCGATTTTCGATTTTTGTCGTGGCGTTATGTCGGTACTCATGTCTCTCATTTATACCGACAATTTCAATATTCGATTTTCGATTTTTGTCGTGGCGTTATGTCGGTACTCATGTCTCTCATTTATACCGACAATTTCAATATTCGATTTTCGATTTTTGTCGTGGCGTTATGTCGGTACTCATGTCTCTCATTTATACCGACAATTTCAATATTCGATTTTCGATTTTTGTCGTGGCGTTATGTCGGTACTCATGTCTCTCATTTATACCGACAATTTCAGTCATTTTTTTGACCAAAAATATAATTCCGCAGCCACCGTATTCCCCAGATCTGGCTCCCTATGGTTTTTCTTCTTCCCGAAATTGAAGGAGGAGCTGAACAGGATCACAAAGAATAATTTTTTGAAGTGCTTGGAGGATTTGAGAAAACGTTGACACAAGTGGATAATATTTGGTGTGGATTACTTTGAAGGGAACAAAATAGATATTCATGAACAAATAAATAATTTTTGAAAAAACAAAATCGCGATACTTTTTGAACAGACCTTGTATCAATATAAAATTACTTTTGGCATCTATCAGTCTTTCTCTTGGATTCAAGTCGGATGAGGACAACTGTTCCTTGACTTTGGCCACGTCCTTCGGATGAAGTATATCGAACCAGCTTTGACCTAAAAGATCCCCCTAAAATAACGTTAAATACAAAAATTCAAAACTACAATTTCAGCTGCGATTAGTTGACTTACCTGAGAATAATTTAACACTTTTGACACTGACTTAGATACGTAGAGGATTCTTCCTCTATCACAGCCTACAACAAATAGAAAACCATCCGCTACCTAAAATATGTATAAAATACCTAGTTGGGGGAAGAAGAATTTTTTATGAATAATTTCACGACTCTAGAGTTGATTTACCGACAAATGAAAAACATCAAAAAGGAAGAAAATATTTTCAACCCAGTCAGATAGTAAGACGGATATTTATAGCAACCTAATAATACACAAGGAATTTTTGACCCTTCTAGTTAAAAGAAAGTATGTAAGGACACGAATTGTAATATTCTAAATCACACAATAATGATTTCAGAAATTTATTATCCGTTAAATTTCACGTCAAAACGACTCTGATGTGAAAATATGACGCTCATAATGCTTGTATTCCTCCAAAAGACAAACGATTTAGAATAATAAAAGTATATTCCCGATTTGCCCTTTTAGTAGATAATTTATTATTTTATTATTTAAAATCATTTATCGGTAGATCAATTAGATATCCTTATGTGTAAAGTGTTTTTGTTTTTATCAACGATGAAAGTACCTGCAAAATTAAATGTTTAAGTTCTTGGTCCGATAGGAACGATGGTTTGTAATGTCCTTCCGTGTAGGAGTGGACAGCTCCCCGTATTGACTTTAAATGTTGAACTGCCATTCTTAAAACCGTCAATTTATCGAGCTTTCGAGACATTGCGTGACACATTGGAACCATCGAAGACAGTTCAGTAATATACGTATTCATCTTGTCTCTGCGTCGTTTTTCAATTTCACTGTGATTCTGTCTGAAGGAAAAGGAAATAAATAGATAATTTTTAATCCCTGTTTTTCAAAAAAGTTTTCATTCATCATCATAAGATCGTCAGTCCTAAGACTGGTTGGACACGCACCTCCACTCTTTCCTATCCTGAGCTAATCTTCGCATTTTCCTAAAACTAGAACAACCCATATCCTTAGCTATTTGCGAACCGTAATCTAATCTAGGTCTAGCTCTACCCCTCCTAACTTCCGTTTCTACCTTTAATATGTCTCCGACTAGACCTTCATGCCTGAGAAGGTGCCCAACCTATCTCGCCTATTTCTAATTGACTTCCATAGAGTCCTCTGTTCTCCTATTCTTTCTATTATCTCTTCATTTCTAACCTTCTCTATCCACGGTATCCTCATCATTCGCCGGTAACACCACATTTCGAACGCTTCTAACCTTTTCATTTCCGTCACGCCCACCGTCCATGTTTCGCACCCGTACAGCGCCGCGCTGCAAACATAATCTTTTTCGAATTTCTAAATTAACCATTCGCGAGCATAGAAGTGACTTCTTTTTATTGAATATATCCCTACTACTCCTTCCGTCTTGACTTATCTGACTTCCTAGATACCTAAAATCGGTTACTTCTTCTAATTTTTCGTCTCCTATCTTTATATTGTATTGTTGTAAGCGAAAATATAAACTTTCATATATTTTTGCATTCATTTCTAGAATTAATACGGATATAACATTCCGTAACAGTGACTAACATGCTTTCGCACTGTTTTTTTAGTCTTTCAAAAGTTATGATTTATTTTACATATTTCATTTAGTAAATCTAGTTTTTTAATAAACGAATTCAGTCACATTATCCTTATTATGTAATATACCGGTATGCAAATGTGAAACTATAAAGAAACCCGTTATACCTATATTTGCTATTGACCGCGAAATATATTTGACATAGAATTTAACAAAAATTTACAGTACTTTGTGTTTTTCCTGTAGATTGACTGCTGTTTTCCATAATCGCGTCCTACATTTATAGACTGGAAATTATATACTTTTTAACTAAAGTATTTACTATATCACTTATTTACTATTTTATTCATTGTTTTTTAATGTGGTGTGATAGAAAAGTTTAAAAATAAGGGGATAGGTATTGAGAAGAGTGAGAGAACAAAGGGTGATATGGAAATCAACAAGAAATACGCGAGATAGGTTAGCAGGACACCTTAGACATGAAGGCCTGCTAATACGTCTCTAATTAGAAGCAGAAATAGGAGTTAAGAAGGATGTGGGATGTTCTAGTCTAATGCAAAGATTAGCTCAGGATAGGAAAAAGTGGAAGTGCGTGTCCAACCAGTCTTAGGACTGACAACCTTATGCAGAGACGGCCTTAGTCATTGGAAGGTTCCGGGCGGGTAAATTTTTGCGAGGCCCTCCTCTTTGTGGAATTAATTTTAATGATGATACTTGAAAAATGCAAAAAGTGATTCATGAATAAGTTTGCAGTTTTAAAATTGTTTATCGAAAATAAAAAAAAAATGATGAGAGACAATGATAGCAAATTTGCGACTTCTTTTAAGACTATTAAGAAATTCAAATAAACATTAGTAGTACCTATGTACTATTACTACCTAATATTTTCTAATTAGATTGTTGCACGAGTGCGCGAGGCCCCTGCAAGAGCGAGGCCCCGGGCGGTTGCCCTGTTCGCCACCCCCAAAGGCCGCCCCTGACCTTATGATGATAATCATAGATAGCTCATGTTCTAATCAGAAATTGGTGTAGGTACATATTTGTATTGTAAATTTTGCATACTCCCGAACGTCCAACTCTAAAGTCCAAATTGCTGTTCAAACCTGCTAAACGTATTTTGGCCTTGTTTGGGATTTTATTAAAAAGGACTTCTAAAATTCGAAATCTCCGATGAATTCTCTTCTTAGGTCAACTTTCTCGAGTCATTGGACGAGAGTTTACGTAAGTAAGTTGACTTCAGCATTCAATCTTCAGGCCAGTTCTTTGACCATTGTTTACATTTAATTAATTATTGTCAGAAAGCATTATTTATTTGGCCGATTCGGTGGTATAATTAGAAACCACTGAATTTGAAATCGCTCTATCACTCTGCTCGTTTAAATAATACATGTAAAAGTGTGAAGATATCGCATAATCCACGCTCTGGAATCCTTTCGGGTCGATTCTTTATTTAAGGAAATTATTGGAATACATAATAATAATGAGATAATACAATTGGATTTGCAACGCGATCTGACGTAACTAGGAAGCCTTAGGTGGAGTTCAAGGTAAATAGCGTGTTATAGTAACCGTCAGCGTCATTGCCTCGATGTCGCGCTGCCGGCTTGCTGCGTAAAAGTTACCTTCTCTAGGACAAAGTGAAATGTCATGTATGCATATTATTATTATTATTATGCATTTAATTGCACTCACGCCTTCCAATCGCCTGTCTATATATGTTTTACCACTTTACAATAAATAAGCCGCGTGTTTCTGTTTGATTAGAAGGTTACTGACTTTTTCGTCATTATACTCGTATGTCCACTTACATGTGTTTAAGTCCATGTGTACGTGTAAGTCGTTAGCTTTATTAGATCACGACGCAAAGGTTTGAAATGCAGTGTTATGTAATAGTTTTGCCATTTGCTGCAGCACTTGATATTCATTATTAAATCGTGCTTGCGATTGTTATCGCGTTGTGCAGCACATGTTACAAACAAAACAAGAAGTGCAGATAATTCTGCAGTGTTGTTTTGAAACGCAATGATGAAACTGCATCTGCTTGGTGCAGGTCTTGAAGATGACCTTGCCAAACATGCAAAATACATACAGTGTAAACTCTATATAACGACACTTAAGGGACTGAACATTTTTCGGCGTTATAAAGAGTGGTCGTTAAATTTAACTGATAAATTATAATAATCTGCATTTACCAATATAGTACACATTTTGCACACGAACATTATTATTCATACATTGCGTATAGTCTGTTATCTTCGTCTGATGTTTTTTGCTGCTCCAATATTTTAATTGTATTTTGTTACGTATCTTACTCATATCTTGAGATACTGCTGGATCAATTTGATTATATAAAAAGTATT